CACACACACACGAGAGAAAAAGTTTATATCCTTAAAAAAAGTGTTCTATGGCATATAGCAAGCACCTGAAGCTGTGAGAACCCACTCTCAGATTTGGTTACTGATTCTTCTCTGGATGATGTGCAGGAACGTTACGGAGTCACATCTAATGAAAAGTGCTTTGTCAGCCTGGACTTTGCAAGAACTCATGAATATGTGAAGCCCATCCTGTTACATTCATATCGTGCTCTGCCCAGTGAAAAGAGCTACTATGTACTGAGGCACCCTTATTTCAAACAGCGGCATCTTGTGTACCTAAAAGCTCCTCCTGATAAAACTAAAAGCCAAAATCCTTGCATGCAGCAAAGTATTTCCAAAGAGCCAGCGTGTTGTGCTCTGACGTTCTGAAACCTATTCTCGGAAAAGCTTTCTGTAGAATACTAATGTCTTTACAGCTTCTCCCCCCTCTCCTTTTAAAGGAGCAACAACTGAACAGTCAGTCATAGTGGGCCTACATCTATGTAGTGGTTATATTATCTTCTGCTCCTCTTGTTTCATATAAATTACATTTAATGCACTAAATGCATGCTTGCAAAAGTAAATAAACACAAGTCATCACAAGAACACACACACCAAAAGCTATTCAATTACAGCGCATTTTGTTGTATCTCTTATTAGGCCTTTTATGGAACATGCCTAACACCTTAAAAAGTAATAATAAGCATGCCTACATATTTCACAAAAATATGGAAAATATCCAATTAGAATGCAGCAAGGCCAGTTTGATAAATGCAGTATTATTAGCATAAGCTTCTTCTCTTGTTAAAAGCTTGATTTTGTCATTCCCACAGATACAGGCCAGAAGTGTGCTCAGAAAGCAAACACCTCTTCAAATCAGCGGTGCTTTTTACGAAGTAGGATACAGCTCAGCACTAACAGGAGCAATGAAACTGGCCCTTTGCGATTTAACTGTGCAACATCAGCTACAGCTAAATAAATTGTAGTTGATTATTTTCAAAAAAAGAAAAGGAGAATACTGCTTACTTTACCTATCAGCCCATTTTGAGGTCAACAGTAAGAGAAATGGGTAGCTTTCCATCTTTGCACTCTCATCCTCTGCCTGGAGACATCACCTTTTAAATTGGATTCACACGGCAGTGATGCACCTCTATTTCAACTGCAGTAGCATCAGAGAGGAAAAAGGAGGGGGAGGGGGAGAGACTATATTTTTCAGAAGTGCTCAGGTGCAATGGAAGTCCATTCGCCAAGTGACATAGGACCAAATTTTTGAAGTTGTAGATATTTCTAAAAGACCTACACAGACATCGCCCCAGCGAGATTTCTCAAAGGCACTGACGTGAAATAGAAGACAAGACAGCTCAGAATTCAAAGGTGGTTATTCTGGCTATTGGCTGGTAGCACACTACAGCTACTGCACTCAGAGATTATTGTGATCTACTAAATGCACAAATAGATTCATTACCAAACTGTCTCTGCCCCACATCTAACTTATCTTATTGCTCAACAACCCACTACAATTCTTGTCCAAATTCCTTAACTAACCCTGCCAAATCACTTCTCCTTAACTTTGTGCATTGTGCAAGCACAAGATGCACTTCAAGTTTCTGCAAACAGGGAACTCAGAACAGGTACTTCATTTCAATTAGTTGTAAAATTGTGTCACTGAATCCAATGTCACAGTCATTTGTGCACTTCACTAAAATGGCTGCAGTGTCATACAGAACCGCAACATACACTGACATTTGGCAGCAGAACCCATAAGCCATCTTCACAGGCTCAGAGAAAATATTCACCTGTGGAACACTGAAAAAAGTCTAGGTTTCTTGAAACTGTACTAAAAAGCTCAGCTGTCCAAACAAGTTTCATACCTGGATGGTTTTACATTACCCAGTTTTACAGAAATAATTGAGATAATTACAGTGTCAGAAGCCTTACCTTCACAATTTTCATATCAGAAAAAGTCTGAAAGGATTTTAATTACCTTGCACTTGTCTGGACGATATTTTTTTTTTCCCCAATCACGTTTATGATCTTTATAAGAATGCTGCTCTTACATAGAGTCATACTGCAACAATCCATAAAGCAGCTAAGATTGAAGATGATGTTTTGAGAAGATCTCTTCCTCCAGATCAAAGGTAGAGTGGCCTACGATGCTTTCACTTTTCATCACTGCCCTTATGTCAGCAATAAACATACCAGAGTTCATGCAGGCCCTCCCTAATCCAATTTTAAATGAGCTGGCTTAAAGCAGAGTAAGAGACAATTAGCCACAAGAACTGTCACTGGAAGAATACATCAGTAATATCTTAAACCACCTCAGCTATTTTAAAAATGGATTTGTCCACACCCCTCTACTTTAGTGGAGATGTGCATCATGCTGTCAGAGCACATTTCAGAGAAGGTACCATTTTGGTTCAAGTGAATCACTTCAACAGTATCAGTACAGCTGAATTGCTTCAACAATATCAGTATAGTTAATGTAGTACAAACTGGCAGAGATAAAAATAAGAAAATATTTTAGCCCAATACCAAGGAGTTCGGTAGTTTACACAGTAACTGTAATAAACAAAAGTGGATTTGAAAATTTAGAATTAAAAGCAGCCACAACTCACTCATTTTGTTCTTAAAAAAGAATAAAATAAAATATCCAAACAGTTTATTCAATGAAGAAAACACACCTCTCTGATTTCTGTTCTCAAGTTCCTCTTTTGGCATCTACTGATTCAGGACAGAATACCTGTTCCACTAATATCTACTCATAGTCCTCAAAAAAACCCCAGATTTTGTCCGCAACTATTAAAATTCTCAAATTCAGGAGCAATAGCAGCACAGAGTATGTTTCTCTACCTTGTTGTTAAGTCCCATTCGCTGCTTCTGAATTGCTATTATTTAGTTGCACTGGATGGGTGTATTAGAAAGTAATGGAAGATGGATCAACAGTTGTAGTTATTATGAAAATTATGGCAGCACATCAGAGGAATTGCAGCTGCTCAATTCATGCAAAGAGCAGCTACTTGACAATGACTATAATTACACAGTATGTCAAACAACATAGCTGGAGTAAAAGTAGAGAGTACGTATTTTAGAAAGCCAACAGATTCCCATTTCATTATGGTCACATTCTCTAAACTCCTATTTAGGGATATCAGGATTCACTTTCTGTCAATCGATTCTCAGATACAGAAAGGTCTACTAAGTCTCCCAAGGGCATTCTCCCGTCAGCGCTGCAGCTGTCAGACACGGTCCCTCTCTGCATGGTTACTAGGCATTTACAATACAGCCTCTACTCAGAGGCCACAGCCAGAGCTGGGGTTCCAGTTCACCGGGAGCTGCGTAGACATGAAGAAAGATCGGCTGCATCTAGTTTCAAAGCAAAGGAAGATTGCTTCCGCGTGGCTCAAACAATGCAGATATCATCTCCTCTATCCAAAGCCTGTTCCTGATACCTGCAACAGCACTGTAATACTCTAGGTTACTTTGCTTAGTATTACTTTTGAATATAAATACTTCCAGCTTGTTCTGGATAATTCCTTTCCCATTTCAAGCACTGAGGCCCTCTTAAAGAGCACATTTCCTTCTCAGATAAAACCTTCACTAGATGCTCCTAATTTTGAGAGAGGCCGTGCACAGTGCTTATCCTGTTACATCTGTAGGCTGTTTGCACATTAGCAACTGTTTAAACAAAGTGACATTTTATTATTTTAGTTTCTTCCAGTTCCTGTTCTGCATTCATCCTCTTTAATTAAAGCCCTCTGGTTTTCACTAGTTGTTTCATGCTGGCAAATCCCTGCACGTGCATGGAAAAAAACCCAGGGACAGAACCTCATTTGCTTTCCTCTGCATCTCAAACTCTTCTTTCAAAAACTGTACAGCACAAAGTTACGGTACAATAATAAAACCAGAACACAAAATACCAGACTAATGGAGAGTTTTATTTATTTATTTTTACTTATGACAGCCACATAAAGACAAATAAGAGGCATACAATTTTGCAGTCCTACTTCTCACTCGGGTGAGAAAGAACCTCATTTGCTTTCCTCTGCATCTCAAACTCTTCTTTCAAAAACTGTACAGCACAAAGTTACGGTACAATAATAAAACCAGAACACAAAATACCAGACTAATGGAGAGTTTTATTTATTTATTTTTACTTATGACAGCCACATAAAGACAAATAAGAGGACATACAATTTTGCAGTCCTACTTCTCACTCAGGGGTGAGAAGTGGGACCCACTTGGTCTATGACACAGTTGGCTGCTAAAGCTCATCACTGCTTTTGTTTTACACAGCACTTCAAACTGCATAATCTGACAGTAAATAACCTTTCCTCTGTACTATCAGGAAACTCAAACTTTTTTCCTGTGAAGTCTGCTGACAATGCCCAGTTCCTAATGCCTTGGAATTCAGGGATCTGACTCCTGGTAAAATTGGTACCTCAAGCTTCCCATGTTTCATAGGTACGGTCATTAAATCACTGACCCAACATGACAGCTCAAAATTATTGATCTTACCTGAAATCACATGCCGTGGTAAGTTCTGCTCCTCCTCCAACAGCTTTTCCTTGGACTAGTGCAACACTGATCAAAGGCAATCTACACAAGAGAGTTTTGTAACCAAAATTCATGCTTTTAGCTTTCTAGAAATTACAAAAGGATTTAGGCAAACCATCTCTGTAGTAAAAGATCAGAAAAATATACTGTTTCAATTAATTCAAATAACTACATCTTTGTGGGTAAGTAGCAGAATACCAATTCGACTTATGCCAAAGCGATTAGCCAAAGTGATTCTTATGCCAGAATGAAACAGCAAGACAGATGTATCAAATAGAATCAAAGTAAAGAAGATCATGTACTAGGTTATGAAAAATACATGTTACAGATTATACCTAAAAAGCCTATCTGCAAGAAGGAGGGACAGTATAGTGACACAAAACCCTACACCAAGCCAGTACACTACAGAAAGCAGTAGAAAGGGACATGAAGAACTGCATGGCTGGGTTATCTAAAAATAATGAGATTCAGCATGATACCTTCAGCAGCTTCTTAAGAGTGCTACCATCCCAGTCATCAACAGAACTTTTTTTCTGAAGGACAAAACCATCCTTTGAGGATAGCAACAATCTGTTACCTTTGATGGTGTTGTATTTAATCATGCTCAAGATATTTAATCATGTTCAAGGTAACTGAAAGGACAGAGGGAAGGAAGACTATATGTAGGGAGAACCTCTTTCCCCACTGCCATTGTAAAACGAATACTAATGAACATGACTGACTTAGGGTAAGCCCAGTTCCCGAAGAAATGAAGACAATTGGTTAGTCCCAGACTTTACATGCCAATACAGCTGGTTTGTCTTTCACTACAAAGAGACACTTAACTCATTGAGCAGTTCTGAAACCACATTCAGAAGCCAGCTTCCCAGTCATGACCACATGTTTGGTTTTACTTCTACTTTAACAGAAACACCAACAATTTCTTACGGACCAAGTTCACTTACCAGCTACAGCACACTTCATACAATTCATGGCACAAGTGAACCCACTGGAAGAGGATAACCTCATTATTCCTATGGTCTATAGGGAACCAGAAGATATGGGTCCAAGTCCCCTGCATCCATACTCTGATCCATTTGAGGCACCTCCTTCAGGATCACAGCCAGCCTCAGTTCCCTCTGAGGGAGATTGATCCCATCCACAACAGATGTCCCCAGACAGCAGTTCAGTTCCCCCTGAACCATAACTTCAATATACTTCAAGACACTTGAGGTGAGGGCTTGATCTTCACGCATCTTCCTCCTGTTTGTTTTGTCCCATCAATTTTGGTTACACGGAGACCAACTTACACAAATGGATTCTAATTCTGATCCTGAGGGTTCCTTACAGTACTACGAAATCTCCAGTCTCCTGGGCAGTTTCACAGAACAATATTAACTCATAACACTTTCTCATCTAGTTTATTTGAAAACAAAGAATATTTATCTTCAAAGAGCTCAGAGCAGAAAAGACAGACTCTACCACACATGGATTTAATAGAAATGTGATTAGGGAAGCTAAATCTAAAGGAAAGGAAAAAATGTTTTTCAGAAGTACCAGATGGTAGAACTGAATACATTCCCTTTATGAAGTGGGAAGATTAAATAAATATATTTAATAAATGTTACCTGCGTAGGTTGCATAAGCTGGCCATGCTTATTTAATAAAAGCTATCGATTCCACTGAGTTACAGAAGTCAGCTTCAGAAACTTTGAAGGCCTAGATTTCCTTAACTCTAGGTATCTCCAAGCCTGCCATATATAAACCTATAAGTTTTTTTTCCTGTTCCTATCTCTGGAAAGTGTAACAGTTGCAAAATGTCAAGGTCTAATTTAAATCCATAAATACCTACCTGATTAACTTGTGTGAATACAAAGTCTGGAATTCAAAATTACATACTTAAATACATAGTATTAACTTTAAACATCTTGTTAAAGAGTTAGCCAAAACATACTCCAATCCTTATAATTACTTCATAAAGAAGGATAAATAAAATATCTTACCTCATAAGTCTGGTTAAAGTTTTTTGCATAAACATGCACATATTCATCCCATCCTACAAAGAATAGGAAATTAAAAAATGTTAAGTGATCCTAATGTGAAGCAATTAAACACACAGATGGAGTAGACAGGAGTATTCATTATATTTACACTAGCTGGGTTTTTTCTCTTTGGAAAATCTTGCCCAAATTCCAGCTCAACCCCACTATGCACAAATAGAAAACTTAGTATAAATCAGGTTTAAAAAAAAATAAAAATCATAACTCAATTTATATGAATTTCAGTTATAATTAACCCACTGTTAAAAAGTAATTGCAATACTGAATTTCTATGATGTGAAATTTTACATCCTTTCCTCTTAATTTCCTCTTCTCACTCCTAGTTAAACATCCATAAAGCTGCATTTTAAAAGTCTGTATAGGACCATAGAGCACTGCATACCTTTTACTGTTCCAAATCCATAAAGTTTTAGACAAGATACAATTTACCAACTACATTTTTTATTGTTTGGGCCAAAAGCATTTCAGCCAAAGAAAAAAAAGAACAAACCACCCAACAGAAAGAAGATTCTTTTTATTTCTCTCCTACTTTATGTTTTACAGAAGCTTGCAAACAACAGTGAATAAGGAACAATTGTTCCCTTCTCTTCCAGTACAAGAACTAACGGGCTCCAAATAAAATCAGTTGCTGCTAGGTTCAAAACAAATATTTTTTCCGACAACATGCAGTTAATCCGTGGAACACTTTGTAGCAGGGCATTGCAGCCTCTAAAAGACTACATGAATTCAAGAACAACTGGATAAAATTAGGACTGAAAAATCAACGAAAGGTTATTAAATACAAAGTAACACCTCAAGCTCTAGAAGTCTTAGTCACAAATTGCTGGGGCCTAAGAGAATATTTTGAAGCAACATCATTATCTATATGCCTTCCTTGTTCTTATACTTGCAGACTCATTAACAATGAACTCAACACGTGACTGAGCAAAATGACTCAGTATGACCATGTTCATATACATATTGAACCGTATCCACTGAACTACATATGTGCCATTTAATCCAGATTAAAAAAATGTTTGGACACCGTAGAAGCAAAAAAACAGTAGATAACAATTTCAGCATGTCTTTGAAAAATAAACAAAAAACAACCCCAACAAAACCCCCCCAAAATCCTCAAACAAATGGTAGGAAGAAAAAGAACAAACAAACTTCTCTTCACTGGCATTTACTAATTTCTAAAACACAGTTTTACAGGGGTTGGCAAGTTAAAGAATCTGCCTTAATTAAAAGCTTCTGACTCATACCTCAGGGAAAGAAAAGATACATAGGAAGCCTTCAATACATCTTGGAACAGGACCTTGAAATAATAGTAGGTCAACTTCAGCTGATTTATTGCCCATTTATTCATGCATTCCCAAGACCTACTCTGCCCAATGCCAACCAGCATTACAGTGTTTAGGGACAGATCTCTGGCAGATATAAGCTGCCATGACAATCGTTACACAGGAACCAGTGAATTCAGTTCAATTATATTAAAGGCCTGCTTGAAAATTTCAGCACATGCTGATTTACAAAGAGGCTTTTATTTATCACCACCTCCTACACCCATTAAGACCAGCAGCAATATTTTCATTCCAAATTAAAGACCAATCAAATCCGCCACGATAGCTGTCTTAACAGCTAAGTTCAAAACCCACACAAACATACAAGGCACCAGTTCTCAGACATGGACTTGCACAATCCCCATACTACAACCATCAGGATGAAGCTGCAAAAAAGCTCTTCAGAGAAAGTAATTTTTCACTTCATCACAGCAGAGTCCTTGGATTCAAATTGGCTGTCTTAATTCATACCAAAATCCAAAATGGTAATTAAAGATTAATGCCAGAACAGCCCAGCTTGATAAAGGCAGTTAAGACTGAGCAGACAAAAAGAACAGTCTTCATATTCTCAGCTGGTAGAGAGATTACCATGTATCACATGGAAAAAACACCTGCACAGAAAACACCCTGAAAAAAAAAAAATCACAATTACTTGAGTCCTGACTAGCATACTCTTCAAACCTTTCTGATAAGAAAAATAAGGCCACTGGTCTCAGTACTTTATCTGAATAAGAGAGGTATTCACTGGAGTCTAGTGGAATAATCACATTTTCAGCTCTAATACTGTCCTTGAAGTTAGAAGAAAACTAACAAGCAGAAAGTGAGGTAAAATACAGTATGCAGTACATATGGAAGAGAAGGATTAATAGTTTGCTGTGGGACTAGGGGAAGCAGGGAAGAGGAAAGTCACCCTCATAAGGTAGAAAACTGTACCACTGGCTCTTTTTGCTGCAAGAGCTTAGAGTTCACTTTCATTACAGATAGTACAATTATTTCCAGACTGTCTCCAACTGCTCGAAAGTCCTCCCTCCACCGCTTACTGCTCAGGAACCTCTGTCGTAGAGGTTCTAGACAGGGACCAAGGAAAATGACATTCTCCTTCATGCCTCTCTCCTCTCGGCTGTCCTTTCAAGAGCCTCTCCTGCTTTTCAGCTAGCCAGCTTTTCAAGTCTCACTCCAGAATGAGGTTATTGCTCTTGGGAACCAGGCTTACAAGAGCAGAAAGAAAAATCTTTTTTGTTTTTTTTAAATTCCACTATTAATTTGCTTTCTGTGATTTGGTCATACAACGTTAGCACTTGACGAAGAAGAACAGGCAGGGGATCTGGGTTTGTTTCAGCGTTAGGAACAACTGAACATGGGAGAAGGAGGATGGAGAGGAAGAGGAGGAGGAAGAGGAAGAGGAGGAGCCACTAGGGGGCACGAAAATCCTTCAGCATTCTCAACCGTTGTTCTGCTTTTCCTGCACCACAGGGAAAGGCAAATTGTATTGCGGATTATGAAAATTACAATCCTCCCTCAACAGACTGGTTGAATAAAATAAAAGTGTTCTCTGTAATTATGAAAAGCTATGGGCTAAAGCAGTCTTGCAAAAAATTAAAGGAAAAACATACCAGTTCAGGCACAAAGCTATCAACTTTTTTTTTTTTTGTCTTGGGGATGCCTGTGGACAGAAAACTTTACCTAACTTTACCTTCTTTAACCTGAAACTAGACAAAACTCACTCATCTGTGGCAAGTTAGAGAGGAGCAGAGTTCTGCAAGACTATAGAACAGCAAATGCTATTCCTTATTCTGTTAATGTTTTATTTAATAAAGATTATTTAATAAAGATTATTAAATCCCACCAACCATGGTTTAGGAGTTGGTTATTATAAAGAAAATCTCAGTTCAGAATAAATAGTTTGAACTCTCCCAAGGAAATAGAAAGCAACCATGTTTATTCTTGAAGAATTTCTGGTGACTCTTAGACTTATTTCAGTATTAGCATAAGATCTAGATTCTTTGCAGAGAATTTTCAATACAGTTATAATTAATACCTGTGCATTTCATTCTGCCGCATACAAGTTTTATGGACCCTAATCCTTACAGGAGCCCTCTCTGCCACTGCAGTGGCTCCAGGTAATTTGTACAAACATACAGACAAAATACTAAAGAGAGTATGGAAGCAGAATCACCATCAATTAGTGAATGCAGAACTCTGAAGGGAAGCCTAGACGGCACATAAGAAAAGAACTGGCCCATGCTTGGTTTCAGCTCCTTTTCTGTTTCCATAATGCTAAAATAAGCTGAAAATTTCAGATTAAAAAAAAGTCAATTAACCCTCCCCCCAGAAATCAGAGATACCTGTATATTTTTAAAATGACCAGTACTTATAAAGCATCCAAATGAAAACTCAAAAAACCCTCCATTTATATCTATAAAGCATGGTGTCTCCATATTAAGAAAAGCATACCTCTCTCTCAGGGTGTTCCACAAAGGAAACAAAGCCTCCTGTATCTTTTGGAAATTGGACCGTCCTATTTATTTTATCAATACCAGATTAATCAGTTTTTGAGTTGGTGTTCTTACATTCACTGGAGTGTTCAATTAAATGTTTAATTTGTGTGATTAAATCCTGAAACTTGAAGGGGCCACAAAAAAGCACCAGAATGGCAGTTACCACAATTGCAAACAAGGACCTAAGAGCAGCACAGGAAGGGCCCCTTCCCCTGTAACTGACAAAGTCCTGTTTCACACAGTGCCCAGAACTGCGTATTAACCCATAAAAAGAATCGCAGCACATGTGAAAGTTGTCAAGACAGGGTGACATGAGTGAAAAACTGCCATCAAACCCTGACCTCTTCAACCACATAGTTACACACATGACTTACCTGACTGGACTACAAGGTCAATGTCAAAGCTCTACAGCACAAGAATTGCATCTGTTCTTCCATTCTATGCAGGTCCAAGCACACTTTGGCAAAATTGAAACCTTTCCGTAATAGCAGCCGTGCTGCTTAAATTTGGTTTTGACTTTAGAATACATGAGAAATGATTACTTGTATCTGCTTTTAAAGGTCAAACTAGTGAAGCACAGGTTATTTGATGTGTATTTTCACCATATACTGCTCATAAAACTGAAATGACATTTTTAAAAGAAAAGGCTAAAAAGAATATGTAATGTAGGAATTCAGAGTTATGAATCAATTACAGTAACACCCAAGCGATGACTTAAAGGGTCTGCCAGCATTTTTTTAATCATTAAGAGCTCTATTCTGTGAATTACATGTAAAATTGCAGCAGAGACATAGTGCAACATCGCTGTCTGAAAGGAATCTCAGAATATCAGAAAGTTGCTTTTTCTTCAAAACTTAATTTGTATCACTACTTGCCTGGGAGTTGGAAATTGCTTTGACAGCATTCAAATCAGATCCCGAGCAAAAGGTGTTTCTTGCACCACAGATGATAAGGCCTTTGCCATCCTTCCAGTTTTCCAGTTCAGCTACCCTCTCCTGGAGTTCGAGCATCATAGTGCCTATCACAAGAGGGAACAATAAATTCCTGTTAAAAATTTTGCTTATCACGACTATGTTTTACATTATATTTTTCACCACCAAAACCAAGCTATCATTAATAAGTGATGGGCTTAAAACCACAAGGGAAAGCATCACCTGAAATCCCACACATAAGCACTGACATACGTTTTTTCCCCAAAGATGGACTTCCTGAAAGTCTGAAGGATACTCTGCAATTTGTGTTACACTCACAAAAAACCCCCACAAAACAAAGTAAGAAAAAACCCAACAACAAACCAACCAACCAAACGCAAGGACACAAGCATAAACTCTACCTGATTTATTCTTGCTTACATACATACAGGACACATGAACTTATATCTATCCAGACTTGTCCATCTAGTCATTTTGATGTTACTGTCATTTCACCCTGCCCAAAGAACGGGCAGGCTACTGAAAAGAACCATGTGCAAGCTGGGTTCAAGATACAACCACTCAATGTTAATAAATACTCCTTAAAAAAAAAAAAAAAAAAGGTTGAAGAGCAAATTATGTTGGAGGCCAAAGATATTTAGAAGTGTTTATCCAAAAGAAAATAACGATATATTTATAAACAGGAGCAAAGCGCCTTTTATCTTTTTTTTCCTTGTCCTTTTAAAAGATAATGCTAATGCATCTTTGATTCCCTCCCTGTTACCTTCCTAGAAAGGCTCCCTTTTAAACAAAGTATATCCTAGGCTCCATATGTATGGATTGTACAGTAGTAGCTTTCCATTTCTAGCTTAAACACAGTATTCTTGCACGTTCACATAAGTACCTTTCCTGATGTGGAACTCTATAAACTCCTGTTTCTAGAGCTCATCCTAGACTGCAGCATCTTCCACACCAACTGAGCTTACCCAGCATTAACTTACACCTCTTCCTCTCTGAATGCCTATGACTCTCATTTAGTTATATTCTTAAGAGAAAACATTTACATAAACTAATATCAGAAAGCAGCCTACATACAGGCTGGAGATACTCTCAGCTTTTTCCTCCTTTGACAAGAATTTAGATGGACACACCTACCTCCTTCAGATAGAAGTGTGCTTTAGATTAATACCCGCAAAGACTCTTTCCTTTTCTGCCAAGTGTTGGCTTTTTGACCCTATGTCTGCATGCACAGAACTCATCCTGTTCTGAAATTGCCTGTTAGCAGCCATCCTCACGTAGGAGGGTTTTTTTGTTTTTTTTTTTGTCCTGCTTGTTTTCCTTCCAGTTCCTACAAAGTAAGCTTCCCAGCACCAGGTCAAGAGTGAATTCTCAGTCAAGCACTTCCACCTTTGGCTTGGTCTCAGCCACTGAAATAGCACATTTTGACAATGTTCCTGAGGAGGGCAATAATTAAGTGGACATTACATATTATATACCAGAATGACATTGGGTTGCTTTTTCCCCCCACTGGCAGGTCCAGACTATGATCCTCTAACAAATCCCAGCACTTTTACCGTTCCTTTGCCTTCTGTATTTATAATTTGGTCATGCTTTTTGTGTGTTGCACGTTACCTTTGCTTTCATTGAATTACACCTTGTTGATCTTGAGTTCTTTGTAACAGTTAATCAAGATCACTTTGAATTCCACCCCTCTGCTCCAAACAATAATCTTCTCGCAAGCTCTCCCTATTTGGGGTCATCTGACAATTTCAGCAGCTCACCTTCTATTCCCTCATCCCAGCCATGAATGAAAATACTGAGCAGAACTAGGCCTAGATGAGATTTTTGTGGGTCTTCACTTGCAATGCTTTCCCAACCTGACAGTACACTCAACGACGAATTTTCTGCAAATGCTGCTGTTTAAGTAGGTGTGCATCAACCCCATGGATTTCACTTTTTGTATATTTGCCAAGTTTTCTTACAAGAAAGGTATTTCAGCAGGCATCCAAGCTTTGCCAGAGTCAAGATACAGCACAGTCGCTGTTTGTGGTGCTTTTAATAGTCAAAGTAGTGAGGTATTGAAGAGTTTTTCCACAGAGTATTATAAGCCAAAAATCTAGTTAACTGGAAAATGGAGTTTACAAAAAGGAACCGTTTGAGCCAGTTACATGCAACAGCAGGGGGCAAGAGACACTGGCCAGAGTCTGTTCCGTCCTCCTGGGAGAGGATCCCTTCCATTTCTGACAACACTGAACTGTTATGTTACCAACAGCTATAGTCCGTGACATTGGATATAATGCTGAGGACACAATACTAAAGCAAATCCTTGTTCTGCCAGTCTTGGTCCTTCAGTATTTGATACTAGTAAGTTTGTGCTCTTCACAGAACTAAATCTACTTAGAATAGTAACTTGTTTGCATCTTAATTATAATCTGAGAATAAATGCTTTAAAGTCAATTCTAGAAAATAAAATTATCAGCATTATTATCTAATTTCTGCAGGCTGGGTTCCTTCTCTTTTAAATTAAGTTCAACTTTAGTTCAGCAAGAGGTTGGGCTGCTGAAATTGGTTCCACCAGACTTAAACTGACATTATTAGCATTTGTTTCCAAAGACACCATTTCAAACAGGTGGCTATCAGATTCCAATTAAGAAGAGAAAAAAGGCATAACAACCTCCACATTGCCCATTAACAATTTGCCAACAATTTTGGTTCCATGAGTTGCTCAAGCTTAGAATAAACATAATTCCTTTGTGATAAAAAGCTGCTGTGTAAGTAAATGCCTGGCAAATAGGATTTCTCTAAACAGTTTAAAGATGTTTTGCAGCTTTCTAAAGGAAGTGTACATGTACATGTAAATTCACATCTGCCACTATCCAGAAGCTGAGACACAGAATCAATGGAATTTATTTGACGGGGGGTATCTACCGGCTCTGGCTGGTGAAGTCAACCAGGTCCTGCTGGGGCAATTTAGGGGGCTGCACATCCCATCCCTTTTCACACTTCACTTGAAGGGTATTACTTGATACGCAACAAAAGGAAAAGGATCAAGTGCTTGCTAGTTCCTCAGCAACTGCAGTTTACAAACAGTAATGTTATAATAAAATGAAGAGCAGTACAAATTAATATGCCATACCATCCACCTCAGCGGCCAAATGATTTTGCTTCTACTCTTCGTCCTGTAACAACAAAAGTCTCTGGTAGAGGTGCACAGTAGAAAGAAGCAGTAATCTCTTGAACTGCCATAGTAAGATTTTTCCAGAGTAAATTTTTGTGGCTATTACCTCGCAAAATGGAGTACTGCTCTCTACAGGGCTCTACACACTGCCATATAACAGAACTGCCTGATCCCATGGCTCATTTGCTATATGCTAATCAGAGCCTGCAACAAAGACAGAACTATTAACTTCCTCATGGATTTTTGTAGCTCCTCTTTGCTACTAAAGCATCTAATTCACATACACTAATAATTTATTTTCACAGCAGTCCTATAAGGAGAGAAGAGATTATTTTACAGACCACTAACTGAGCCAGAGAGAAAATATCTGCTAATTTTGGGTGCTCAACTTGAGGTGTGTGGTATGATTTCAGTACATTAACATTATATAGCACTTCATATAGTCAAAGCATAGCTACCAGTGGCCTAAATAGCAGCTGCAACTGCTCAGCACTTGAACAAATCCGTTCTGAGCCCCTTCTGCCAAGCACCTAGAAAACAGAGAACATAGTTCTAAGTTTCTATGAAAGTTTAGTTTAAGCAATTTTACTTGTATTACATGTGATCTCCATAGCAGACTGGGCTTTATCTGTCCTTTCTCCTTTTGTTTTACATCTCATTTCTCATGTCCCTTTCAACTTCCCCAACAAATAAGCTAAGAGCACAGTGTCTACAAGCTGTACCTTGCACACCTGTTTTGAGTCAAAAATAATAAAAAACCCAATCTGTAGAAAAAGAGGAAACAACAATGTAATTATGATAGTATAACAACATGCATGCTGACAGGGAGGCACTCAGAAGGACAATCTCCACACTAACATCTTTTAGCTAGAACTTCTCAACTTAGGTAATGACTTTATGCATGAGATTTAAAGGGAAACAAAAGAGAAATTGCAGAGACATCTAGGTGCATTGCCACTACTTCTGTTGTTCTGTTAGGTTCTCTTCCTTTTAGCTAACAATTATTAGTGGAAGGAGTAGATTGACATTCTCCATGTAAACAGTTCTATGCTTTGCTAGTGGGTTGCAAACATATTTGCTGACAGCAAAGGAACAGTGAGAACCAGGCAGGAAAATAGAACAGCAAAATGAAATTAGCAAGACAACACAAATGTATCCATTTCAAAATATTAAGAGATAAAGGCATTCTTACAGTAAGGGCTTATGCACAGCTCAAGCTCAGGCAGATGCAGACCCTGAACTTGTGTCACTTATGTCTGAAGAGAATGGTATAAATTGGAATATTCTAGACAGTTAAGGAGAGACAGCAAATATACCTATCTTGGAGATCAAAAGCCTCTGATAATACAAGATTAATCAAACAGGGCACTTGGTTTTGATAGCTAAGTATTGTCCAGTGTAAAAGCATATTAAGAAGATTCCTGATCTGCAACAGCTGAGAATACACCATTCATTTGATCTTTCATTAACCAGTCACTGCTATTTAAGGCAAACAAAGAAGAAACAGAAGCCAGTTTGGGTGACGAAAAGACCAAATTATAGAATCTTAAGTTACAGAGAAGGCTTTAGGTAAAGAACAAAGTAGTAAACTCACCCTTTCTACACCACCTACAAAACAAAGATGGCATCTTCCCACCTCCATAAAAATACCCTATACATTTCCAGAGCAGTAGAGATAAAATAAAAGGAGATACAAGAAAGAGCACAGTAACAGAATTGTGCTGACTGAAAGGAGAGAGAAAGGAGAGAGGCATGTTCTGCCAGACAGTCCTCATGCCATTGAAAATTTCTTATATTCTCCTGACATTTACGGCAAAGTCTACTATGCAGAACAGTGGGAGTTTGATGCACATCTGAATAAAACTTAAACATTTTTCTTTTAACTAAGGAAGGTAAGGCACAGGTTATAATTTTGTTTTGGCAAAATGCTAAAAGGGGTAACTGAAGGAGAAAAAACTCCACAAACCAGCAACCCTATCAACTAATTAATACCTGTAAAGGCATTCATTAACTTTGGGTTGTTCAAAGTAAGTATTCCAATGCCATTGTTGACTTTGGAGAGATTGATGGATCCACCAGCAAACTGCTGAAGTTTCTTCTTTATCAATTCTTCCTCATAACCATCAGCACCAATATACAGCGATGCCCTTCTCTGCTGTAGTATCCTTTCCTTTGTAGTCTGAAGTAAGTTCTTCCACAGAGAAGCTGCCATTTCTGGAAAGAAACAGAGGGGAGAAAAACAAAAAAGTATAAATTGCCTTTGAGATCCACCTCAGTCCTCTGACAGAGGGAAGCAGGACAGCAGAAACTAATATAAAGGTGATGCAATCACAGAAGCCTACAGAAACCACTGCAGACTATTTGCAAAATTCTTAGTTTGAATCTACTCCCACAAAGTTAATAGAAGGAGTCTTATGAAGTGATTTTAGTAGTTAAGGCAGAAATTAACATCTTTTAAAATCTTTTCTTCTAAAAATTACCCAAAAGTATTTGGGTGCAGAGTATCACAGAGGCTCAAGAACTGTAGTAAGATGTTTACCCATTCCATTAGACCAACTTATTCCGTAGTAATCTTCTAAACCCCTCCCCCCTCCACCAAAAAAAGCCCACACCTGTGTTGGAGGAGAAAAGCTACCAAACCCCTACTTTTCAGGATCTGGTTGTTTTCAGGATTTCCTGTTTTTCTGTAAACAATTACTACATCACAACACCTTTCTGAGAGAATTACTTGAGGAACACAAAAATTAAGAACCAAAGACCATTCCTATATTGAGGTCCATTCCCTGTCACCTAATTCCATTAACACTCCATCTTAACACTAGTTAACACTTCCTAGCCTCTGCTAGCTAGCAGCCATTCCGGTTCCACTTTAAACTGATCTCACTTGGACACAGAGAATCAGAACCCGTGCAGTACCCTAAAGGAGGAAAACTGTACAAGTTTTACATAGCAAGCATCACACTTGCCTTTTATACAGCTACATATTACTGTTTGTCTATGTACCAGTACACCCATGGCTTATTCCTCCGCTATTTTCACTCTGCAATGTATGCCTCAGGAAATAACAAGGAAGTCATTATCAAATATTATTCTTGAGCTGCAGTTCTGCTTTATTTTATTTACTTTGGAAAAGAGTCTACTGGAGAAAGTGGCTGACAAGTGATTTGAAAGAATTAAGGTAAAGCCTGAACCAGAGACTGCTGATCTGGAAAGAAAGTCATCTTAGAAGCCACTCGGAGTGGCTTCTAAGTAAAAGAACCACCACAGGACATAGAAAAAGGTTTGCTATATTTAAATCTTGCAATTTGCTAGACTAGTCCTAGCTTTGCCCCAACTGCCTTTTTAATGGATACAGCTGTTCAGAAGACATGGTAGATGGTTATTTTTCGAAGAACTGCGAAAAGATCATCTTTGTTTCTTAATCATATTTGGCAGAAACAGGAGTCTTCCAAAACTTACAAGAAGCTCCTGGAAAGTTTTTCTAAGGTGAACTCACATTACAAATATATTCACTGAGACAGAATTCGGTGACAGCTATATTTAATGTTCTGTTCAGGGCATCTCACAGTTTACAGACTGAAATTTTTAAAACATTTACTATATATACACACGAACAAGCACTCACTCACTAAAAAAGTGCACACAACTAGTTTATAATGAAAGAAGTTAACAATCCTGTCAGGTGTACACTTATCTTGTCTTCAGCTGTACCATCCTATGCTAAAGTAGAAAATGCTTCTGTTGCAGCAGGTACAATCCTCATTGAAACGGAGGAGTGGTTTGCACAGCAACCACATTACAGGATGCAGAGGAGTATGCATAGTACCAGGCAATTTCAAAGAGTCACCTGTGCCAGTAGATTCATACCTGTCCTGCCACAATTGCATCCACCAATACAGCACTATCTCACAAGTTGAACCCAAATGCATTATAAGGTCATATACACTGGAATAGGTACAGGGATCATTTTTTACATCTGGTAAGACACTTTGAAGGGTCCTCTGAGTTCCTAAGGTTTTAATCTGTCATGGTCAACTTTTCCACACTCAAGTGTAAACTAATAAAACTAATTACAATTTAAGCAAGTTAAAAGTCCGATTGAATACAAGATTCATTACTTCATAAATAATATCACCCAACTGCTGCTGCCCCCCAACACTCCCCATCTATGTACATTCTAAAATTGTCTGCAACATTTGAGCCATCACCTTTCAGAGCCATACTTTCAGAGCTTTTAAAATGGCTTCTCTTGAAAAAAACAAACCAACCTATTTAAGAGTGAAAACAGGTTTCCAAACCTCATTTCTCAGCTAAATGATTCTTTTTATATTCAGGCTCTTAGAAGAGAAACAGCCTTCCATTTTCTCTAAAACTTCCGTAGTCATTCTCCAACGTACATTCAGGCAATAAAACTTTCCATCCAGCAACTATTTTTTGCTCAGGAGAGAGCAAACATTAAAAACACAGATAGTGTAGGCTCTCATTGCAAAGTGTAGTTTGAACAATTAGCTTCCAATTTTTTATGAATACAAAGCCTCCCTTCTGTAAGAAGACAGACTAGATTTAATTCTTGAGGAAACCACAATGATTGGCTTGAAAGCAAAGGGGGAAAAAAAAAAAAAAAAAGGTCTGTTTCGTTAACCTAACTCCTTGCCAAATTATACTTGTTTGATCACTTTTCTACTACCTAGATTTCACATGTCAAAAAATGTACAGAGCAAAACAGACTTAAGATATGGAAATTTTATTCCACAAAAAAAAAAAAATCTGTCATTTTCAACTGCGTGGTTATAGGCATTAACAGCTCTTTAAATTATCACTATGGTAATAAAGAGCATCAGCAAGTGCGGGATTAGAAAACAAATTGGACATCACTGCCTGCTGATCATGACTCATGATTAATGACTCATGCAAGGTATTATCATTGAATTATTTTCTTTAAAACCATCTCTTACAGCACTGGTCAGTACCCAGTACTTTTTTAATAAAAACAAGATTATTTTAACAGCTCAGTCTGAGAAAGCTAACCACTCAGGAAAAGCATGATATTTAAGCTACAGCTCTCTCACACTAAAGGGATTTCTGCTGATCTCTGACAAACAACATTAAAAATTTCAATCAGTATGGAGCACTAGCAACCCACAGCATGACAGAGATTGATTTTTTTGTACTAGAAGTGAAAGCACTGCAAGAGATAGATGTTGCAATAACCCACAAAATGTTATAGGAAAAGCCAAGAGATATTACCCTAAAATTTTCAGATTTTCAGTTTAACATAATTACATCATTTAGAGACACTTACAGAAATGAAGTCTTCGTCTAATTTTAAAATAAGTCAGACGTGATACACCCATTAACATCTACAGCACACACAGTTTATGCACAGTTTTTATAGTGAAAAAAATTCTGACACTACAGGAATAATGAACACTGTGGGCAATTAACATCTTTCACATGTTTTAAGAAGTACTACAGCTTTACATATCACTGGTGACAACTAAGAGACAAGCCAATAGTATGGATATCAATAGTTGTTCATTATTGTACCTCTTATATAAAACAACAGTTAAAAATCCCATTTGGCAATCAAGTGATTTTTATAGCACCCTTGCCTGTGGGCTAGCAGACTGTGGGTTAATAGGAACACCTATCACAGTATGAAAGGAATGATACACATTATGCAAGAGCAATATACATATCTACATGCAGACGCTTACACACAATACATGGGGTTTGCATATGCATATGTATCAGAGGCCTTCTGAAAGCCTGTGGTAACTGCCTAATTAAAATTCAGCTCTCAGGATGTTACTAAAAAAATAATAATAATAGGGATAATACCAGCACCAATATTCCATAACTGAGCAGATTCTTTGGGAAACCAATAAACCCCAACTATTGAACAAGCATTTTTTGCCCTCACCATTCACCACTACTCTCTTGCAACCTCAGTTTTTCTCTTAAAACAGCAACCTCATGAAACAGCAACCTCCAGCAACATTGCCAGTTGTAATTGCCAGCAGGCACAAAGACAGGTGGCCAGAGCACTGGCTAAGGAATGTAGGTAGCAACCTCCTAGGTGGGTAGAAGGACTAAGGCAAACCAGAGAACTGGACACTGGGAGGCCAAATGAGCATTTGAGCTGCACGCATAAACGAGAAACGCTGCACTATGGAGCAGCTACACAGAAATAATCAGCAAGTTAAAATGCATGAGCAGGGAAAATTTCAACTCAAAGATAGTGCCTCAGTTATTGACACAAGTCAGGGAAAAAGAAAATGGGGAGAAGTGATGCAGGGATGTGTTTTCAGTACATCAGGGAAATAAGCGTGCCCTTTCATGTGGGGCAGGAAGTGACAGGTGTGATATGCAGATATAGATCTGTGAGTGACCTGCAAAAAAAATCAGCTGAATTTCTGATTTTGGATTAAGAGATCCTGAGATAAAGTGTGGGAGAAATAAAGGGACCTAACATACAAAATCCACAAAAGAAATCTCAGGGAAAAGAAAATATTCAAATGACATAACAAAAAAACAACTGGAAAGGCACTTTTGTGACACTGCCAAAGGCATCAGAGGCAGCTGACAGGTCAAGAAGAGGAGAACTTGACTTGATGAAGACCTTCAGCAGCTGCAGTTTCAGTGACAAGCACAGAAGTGCAAATACAGGGCAAAGAGAAAGATACAGAAGATGTGAACTGAAGATGATGATGTGGTGATTCAACCCTGTGTGTGTGCCTTACCAGTCACTGTAGAGGCATTCATCTGTACTAGAGAGCAGTGTGCGTGACTGTCGGATGCTTCACTGGGTTCCTGCAGTGACTGACTAATGAGTGGAAAGCAAGCGGTGACCCAGTGCTGAGGACCAGCAGAACTGATCCTACAGCATTGAAAGCAGATGAAAGAGCAGAGAATGAAAGAGAAATAGAAACAAGACATGAAAATACCCCATCTGTACAAAAAGAAAAAAAAAGTGGGTTGAAAATGAGTGAAAATTGTTAACACCAACTGACTGGAACCTGGGACAGTGGGTTGGAGGGCAGGTGTGTAAGAAATTCCAGTGTTGGAGAGAGAAGAAACTCAGAAACAGCAAAATCAAAGGGGGCAGCCTGGATGCAAATCAAGACAAGAGCATGGGTCTCATAGTGAAGAGGAGTCACTGGACCCTGCTGTCAGACACAAGAAAGGTGTAGGAGGGAGGTCTCACCTGCAGCGTTTCTCCCCA